GTTCTGTGTGTGGGTGTGTGTCTGTCTGTGTGGGTATGGGTCGAGGGCAACGCAGTTTTTGCGACTTGTTTCTTTATGACAGTCAATTTCGTCATATTCCACTTGATAAAAACTCTGATTGGTTTCTGTGCTCAACATAATTTGCATATTTATTATATTATTTCAACATCAACGGGCAGTCGCCAGAGATATCAAAGGTGTTCAAAAGTTTTTAATCTAAAATTTGGTTTCATGCTCAGCATAGTAATGTGTGGTGTGTAAGGTTAAAACTAATTAAATTTAGCAGTCAGGCAGCTTGATTTTTCATTTGGAGCTCGCACAGATTCGTTCTCCATGTCGCGACAGCTTGACAAATGAATGTGGATGTCAAATAGCTCTGATAGCTTGCCAGCAATGGCGGCGCTGCCTGTAACAAATGGCGCAGCCAATTTCGAGGTGTGGCCACCACAGTGTGGGCTTGTTGGGGACGCCCCGAGCCAAGTACAAACTAATTTCCATGCTCGGCACGCGCACAAATACATGGAATATCATTAGAGTGTCGGGTGGTTGAATCGTTCATAGCATATTAGAGTAATTAAATGGCAAACGCAAACTTAATTGGAGCGGCCATTTTAGTGTCTCGACTCGAACTCGACCCGGTGCGTCTGTGTGTGTGTGTGTGCGTGAGCTGACAATAAAATAAAAAAAAGCTGCTAATAAAACTTAACTTGAATGACGGCCATTTTGAAAGCGTTGCACAGTGCGTGCCTATTTATTTAACAAATTAGCATAATTGTTCACAAAATAAAATTCAACTTAAGTACAAATGATGCCCAGCCACTCGTCTGCCAACTGCCAACTGCTAACTGCCAACTGGCTGCTTGGCCGCTTAGCTAACTGACTAACTGACCGACTAGCTGACTGTCTGTCTGACCGTATAGCTGTTAATTAACATGTGGGTGCAGGACGCATCCCGTGGCGCAAATTAGTTTGTACGCCATGCTAATTGCGGAATGGCGTGTCAGGCTACACTGAAAAGCACGCCATGTAGTAGCGGTATCTGCTCGTACTCTTATTGTTGTTGTTGTTGTTGTTGTTGTTGCTGCTGTTGCCTGGAAAATATATGAAAATTGTTTTGACTTTAGATAAGCGACAACGACGACGACGAGTCAAGCGGGTTGGAGCCTTACACAGTGTGTGCCGTGATAGACGCGACGCGCTAAGCGAAAGGACAATAAATTTTATGACATTCAGTTGAAGACAGTTGCTAGCACTTAAAAGCCACTTGGCTACTTTAATTACTTTGTCGAAGTAAAAAGCAAACAGCTGCTCTAGTGGACTGCAACGACTCGATATGATCTCGATCTCTCTGCCTGCGCATCACCCCTTTGACTGATTGACTGACTCCCGCCTCTCGACTCCTGACTCCGCCTGCACAGGGCACAGGACAAAGGACATTGTCTGACTGCTGGCTGCTGGCTGTTGAACAGCATTTGTGTTTGTCCATCTGAGATAAGCTTTGTCGCCAGTTTGCTGAAAACACGCAATGACAACTTAGTCAAGTTCGCGCTACCTTTAAAGTTGTTTTCCTTGTGTTATTGTTGCTTTGTGCGATTTTGAGTGCTACTCGGACGTACTCATATACGATTATAAAAGCAATTTCGAACAGCTACATCAGCACACACACACACACACACACACACACACAATGACAGCTGAGTGCCATCATCAAAGTCAGTCCAGTTGAGGGCGTGCCCTTCTCTTCTATTAGTTGGCAGTTTTCATTGTTTAAAGTGTTGGCTGGCACACAATTCTTATTGTTGTTACTACAAAAACGATTATGTTGGCGCAACTTATCGTGCACAGCAATTCAACAAATGGCTAATATTATTGAGTCTGATAAAAGCAGATTACACACACACATACGTATGTATATACACAGATAGCTTAAGTAAAACTCTCTCTAGGTAAATTGTTCTTACTGAGCTGAGCGAAAACACTATCGTAGCATTGATTATTGCCAATATGCATTCAAATCAAGTTTAGTTAATTTTAATTTAGGCCAAGGCTTGAACCTTGTCCTTGGGATCAAATTTGTAGAAATAAAAAATAATTGCCTTTTGTTGAAACAAAATTCTCGAATTTCTTAAAGAAATAGCGGAGAATTGTCAGGTTGAGTCCACAAAATTGATATTTAACTGTCACTGCGGCCTGACAGCACTTTAATATTTTTTTTTTTTTAGTAATTTTAGCTCAGCTTAAAACGAAAATCAGTTAATAGGCAATTTAAAACGATATTGAAAGGAAGCAAGTGATTTTTGATTTTAGCATAGACGTAAACCAAGGAAAGCTTTTGTGCTGCAAAAGCTTACGCCAGGCATACACATACAGAAATCGAGCCCACCTACCACCCTTTAAGCGAACGCTCAAACACATACTCATATCTGCGTGAGCACACACACACACACACACACAGGGTGCAAGAACGCGTGTGTGCACAACAATGCGTAAACACATTATGCTGCCTGTTTGTGTATGTGTGCTTGTCCTTGGAAAGCAGCAAAGCTGGCAGGGATTTATGAGTGCCTGGTCGAAAATCTACCACAAAAGAATGTGTGCAAGTGTGTGACAAACCAAGGTGCGTCCGTGTGCGAACACAAGCAGACACGCATGCACACACGCACACACGTTAAAGACGTGTATTAGTCGTGGTCTCACGTGCGAGCGCACAAGGATAAGGGGCGTGCAAGCAAGCAGTGGCGACCTTGAGGCGCTAACCACACACACAAACACACACACACATATACACACAAGCAGGCACAGGCACAGGCATAGGCACGAAAACAGACGCAGGCACAGGCACAGGCACGCACACACACTCACGCAATCCACCCCTAATTCGACAATGTAACAACGTAGTAATGGATGGTAGCGCTGTCTGCCCTGGGCGCCTGCTACTCTAAGGTTGCTCCTAGTTACGACGTAACTGTTAACCGGTTTGGGCCGCCAGCTGTACTGCTCTCGCTTGTTAGCACCGTTATGCCGTGTTATGTAACGTGACCGCGCCCGTATGATATCAATGTTAACGTCAATGCCTGCCCAGCTGGCAGAGCGGGCGGGCTGTCATTTGCGTTTGGCCATTACTCCGCCCCGTTGAGCACGCCCCAGCGCCCAGGCCGTGGGCCGAGACATGCGCACTGGCAGCTTGGTAGCAGCAGCGCTTGCTGTCCGCGCTGTTCGCCTGGTATTCCTTGGGCGGGCGTTACCTTAAGAAGGGTTAAACCGCTGATGGACACGTGTCTATTTTAATGCGCCGCACCCACAGCGCCCGTGCTGCTGCTGGCTGCTGGCTACTGCCTGTGCAGAGGTTCTTGTCCGGGTTCTTGCTAAAAAATACAAAGAACCAGTACGGACCATCCGAGCCCACGCTCATCGCGTAGCCGCCCATGCTAGTGGTACACCCAATGCCCGCACTCGTTTAAAATGCTCATTATTGGATCTGGACCTAGCAGAGGTTGCGTGTGACCCACCCACTGGGCGGGCAGAGTCGCGACTCGCGGTTCCTCGTCTGCGAGTCAGCTGTCAGCGTGCAGTGGCGTCGCAGCTGACACCGGGCACAAGACCAACTCTCACAGTGCTATCGGGCACCGTCACTGTCTGAAAACCCACCCCTAAGTGACTGGCGTATTTCAAGTGAACACACCCCTCAGAAACACACACACGCTCAAGCGCGCGCACGCACACAGTCAGACTTTCGCTTTTAAAAATAAACGGTCGTCACATGATTCAGATACTCGATGACGCGCATTGGAATGCGAGTCGGACGCTTCCTGAGATATCTGCGCTCCTGGTTGAAAACTTCAAGCGGAATTTCCTTTCGTTTGGGCTGTGAACATTGTGTTCCATTGTTTTCGCTGCTGTACTTTGACGCCTGGCACAAACCATGTTTAATGTTTCAAAATATATACGAATTTATTGGAATGTTAATTTATTGATATTATATTATATTAGAAAATTTTATTCCTTCATTATTATAACTACTTGTATTATTATTGCACGTTCTGGTTTTTGTATAAGTCATAGGAATAGCGAATATTTTGTTTAGATCACATAAATAGTGATAATTTTTGTAATTCGTAACGGTTTAAAATGTTAAGAACACTTTTTGAGAGCACACAAAAGTATGCAATTCAACTATTTATTCGTTAGTTTGTACCTAAAAGTATGCTGCGACAATATGTATTCACAATAATATATACAATAGTAGCTGTAAGTATGCTACGAAATATGGTATGTAGCCATAAGATTTTTTTCGTAGCATACATTTAGGTTGCAGAGCATGGCATCAGCTTCTGTTATAAATAATATCGTATCTTGCATACTTTTGTATGCTTTCGAAAAGTCTTTTTGAGTTGGCTGCTAAGAACAGCCGACAGATGTCGGCCTTGTTGTTTTGTTGGAACCATTTCGTTCAGTGTGGAGCAACTTTCGTCAAGCTGAAATGGTTTGAAACTTGACTAGTAGCCACTAATCGATTACTATTATTAACAACCTATCGAATATGTTGCAGCGCGCTCCAATCTAAAACAAACTTAGCGGTTTTTCAAATTCAAATATTGGATTATATGTGATGGTATTTTTATTTACTAAGAAGCTGTCTATAAAGTGTTTAGTTATAACAGATACACATTCTGTAAAATTATTTTTTTTCTCTGAACTAAGATACTAATTAACAGTTACACCGACACATAGTATTTTGTACAGCATGCAACACCCTCATTGGCTTTCCTTCTTCATGTTTAGCTAATCAGAATCAGGGCCCAATTTATTACAGTCACATTTAGCTGGGAGCCCTACAAACTGAGACGAAGGCCATTCAACAGGCAGGCTGACAAATAATCTAATTAGCCGCCAGTGCGATGAGTTTCAACTGTCAAAAGATGAATGCGGCTAATTTCAACGCCCGCCAGAAACTACACATAATAAGAGAAGGATAGATAAACATAGAGAGCAACATTATGTCAAAATGTCAAAGTGAAAGGCAATAAATTGTTGCCAAGTCAATAGGAGCCCCAAGTGCCCAGCTGGCAGAGCTGTATGCTAGGAAAAGAGCGTTCGCTTTACAAGGCGCGCATTTTCCATTTCCGCGGCGGCATTTTTCAATACGAATTCCTTGGAGAACGCTTGACGACATGCGCACTTCGGGCTTGTCTCAAAATCTAATTAGTTGGATACTTCATTAACCACAGCCGACAATCAACAAATGAGTAATTAACATGCGCCTGGGTGAGAGCAGCGCTGCCTCGGTGTTCTTGTCGTCGCATGCAGTTAATATTTCATAATTGAGCAATTTATTTTCGCCTCTTTGACAGGATCAAAGATAAAGCCGACACTACAGCGAGGCCTAAGACACCGCGCCATGCAAATTTTATGCTCACTTAGTTGGCGCACAGCGCCGTTATAATGCCCGGTAGGTCTCATGTGTGGCGCTTGACTAAGTATGTCCCGGAACTGCGTTTTTGCGATTCGTTTAAGACATGTTTAATGTTCATTTACAATATGGAGGAGTCTTCTTTCACCTTAACGAAGATGTGCAATTGTGTTTCATTAAAGAACACAATCTACATCAAGTAAAAGTTATTCAATTTTATAAAATATTCTGTTTATTTTCGGCCACTTCTTGGGTTATGGAAAACATCAGCTGTTAGAAAACTTGTTCGCTGCAGCGTCAACACTCGCATAAAATCCAACAACTTCCGCTTGGAGTGAGTGGAACGATATGTGAACAGGCAATATATATCCAGATGAAGCACCCCTTGGCCCGCTGTTTGATACCTGTTGTTGTCTGCGTCGGTTGCACGCTTCGGCTGCAACGCAGGCCAAGATGCTTTGCTTGAATGGCGGCAATAAAATCTAAATTACACAATCAAAGTGACATTAGAAATGTCATCTGGTGGCCCCGGAGCAGGCAGTTGCGTATATAACTTATATGTTCGCTTATTTGTTTGCCTGGCTGTTGACAATGTCAAAACATACACTCACGGGCGGAGTCCGGTCCTCAGAGCTCATCATAAATTTCATTTGATTGCCGAGCAATGCCGAGAATCTCAAGTGGAAATTTATGCGGCAAGTGGGCTGGCGGCGGGAGGAGTGCGGGCTGTGCGGATTGTGCTGCTCGAAGCTATCAATAGCCCTGGACTCGGCAGCGTCAACGAGGCGTGTGAGTGATTTGTTGGGGGAGGCAAAGAAATGTCTGGAGTTGCGCCATTTTATGTTTGTGATAAATTAATTAAAATTAGACAATAACTGCAACGGAAAGCGCACTAATTAAGTGGAGAGGATCGACAGCAGTGGCAGCTACAAAAGCAGCCCAAGCACCGACCTCCGCTTCGTCTTTGCCTTGGCTGTAAACAGAACTTGTACAAAATGTCAGCGCAACAAATTTCAATTAGTTCACGCTTCACTTATTAGGCGGCAGAGGCGCACTCATAAAAAGAAAGTGCCGCCCCGGCCCGCCTCTCTGGAGAGGCTGTACCATTTGCATCCCATATACCAATTCCCCCGATTCCCATGTCGCCCTGCAACCCGCGCTGCCAATGAGCCGCAGCGTGAGCGATGCAAGTTGGAGGTTGTTGCTGCTCGCAGTTTGGAAACTGCGGCGACATAATTAATTTGTACATTTTGTTGTAAAATGTTGATTGTGATTTTAATTAGGCGCGGGGTCGTGTATTAAGCGGCCACCCAAAGCACTTAAGTGCAGCCTTTGGGAATCGACTTGCAGATACAAATGTATCTGCGCGCTGCAATGAGCTGCGAATGGAGCCAAAGGTTTAATTTGATGCCCGTTCAAGTGGTATGTCTCGCTATTTTCAGGTCTTGGCAGACGCAGCTCCGATTACATGTTTTCTGTCATAGATTAGCCGCGGCCCAGCCCATGCCAACTCTCACTCTGCTCCCGATGCTGCTTCTGTTCTGTTCTGTTCTGTTCTGGGCGTTTCACTTGCGGCAGCGCACATAATTTCACACTCCCCCGCCTGAGTCTCAAATATTACTGTTGAGCATCTGTTGATTTTGTGGCAGCATCTTCTGCTTGTTGCCTTCTTTGCCAACTGTGTGTCAATGCGGGGTTGCCCGCCCTCAACAGTTGCGTGCCCGTTTTAGCATCTCGAGGAGCCATCTCCTGCCTTCAGCTGGCCGCGGCTAAACTGCATATTACTTATGCCAGAATGATTTAGTGTGACGCGTGACAGATTTACAAGTTGCATTTACCGCATTAATTTATCATAAATATCTTTAAGAAGCAGCCAAGCCAAGCCAAGTCACATAAATAGCTGCCTGATTCGGCGGCTCAGATTTAGATAGCTCTTGATGCGCCAATCAAATATTAAAGTGGAAACGTTAAGAAATTGCATTCAGAATTCGAATAAGAAACTAAATAAAAAGATTAAAATTACTTGAGGCGAGGGCATAATAGTCAAAGCTATTTAAAAGCTATAAACCGCTGCCCAGCCCAAAAAAAAATTGTCGGTAGTTCTGTTCACGGTGGAAACCTGTCTTTGGATTCGGCTTTTGAGCCTGCCTCTCGGCATCAATATTTCTACAATTTTAATAAAAAAAAATAAATTCAATTCACAATTCAACTTTCTAATTTAGAAGTGTCCGTTCTACTGAAAATATTGCATGTCAAAAATATTTTCACATGGAATTGCGGACTAGATTTCTTTTCTACACACAATTTGTATCCTCCAAATAAGATTGAATAAGTGTAAGATATTTTTGACCTTGGACAGCTGGCTTGACTTAAGGTTCGGTTCACGCTAAGAAGTTCAATAACATTTCAAGCTCATCAAGCACATTTAAACTTTATGAAATGTGCTGCTTTTTAGTCAGCCTTCAGCCGGATATATACTATAGAGCTACACATATGTGTCAGCCTTTAATTGACACCTTAGAATGGGGAATGTTGATACCCAACAAGGAGACAATTACCAGCTGCACATGCTGGCATTTCCTGCCCTGGGCCCACATGGAGTGTAGCTCTCTAATTGCGACTAGCATCCTGCTATATATTTATAAGACTTTGGCCATTTGCTACACAGTTGCGATGTTTTTATTTTGCGTATAATTATTGCGAGGCGTTGACACATATATCGCTTGCAGGCCAGCAAAATGAGAATTCAAAAATAATATGCACAGCTAATTAGGATACAGCTGAATATAATGTTTTTATGACTTTTTAATGTATTTTTCTAAATTTTACATGAATTTTGTCACATTAATTTGGCACAGAGAACACTGTTGCCATCGCATGCTTTTTATTTTTGTCTAATTTATTTAAATGGCTTTGGTTTCCATCTCAATTTGCAATTTACGAATGGCGGATCCAACTGATGCTCATTTGATTGCTTATAAAATGTCAGATACAAATGTATCTGCATCTGAATCAACTTCGTTATAAAACACAAATCCGGCTGTTACTCAAAATGAAAGATAAGGTTTCGGTTTTCAGTGCGTGCGTGTGCGGGTGTCTTTCCCTCTTTCTCTATGGTTGTTGTTCCGCATTTTTATGAGCCATGAAATTAATTTACGATTACGACAATTTAAATTTTTAAAATGACACTAAAAATATGTTAACAACTTGGCTGCCGTCGCCGCATTGTCGCAACGAAAGTGTTAAAAAGTCTTTGCATCTTTTGAGAGCACAACCACAAATGTGCCCTGCGATTTATGATGAGCTATTGTTGTTGTTGTTGTTGCTGCTGCTGTGGTTATTCTATAGCATGACACATTGTTCCCGTTCGTTATTGAAGTGTTGAGTTTATGTTTCATATTTTGTCTGAAGTCATTTAATTTCTATAAAAAGGCAGCCCCAAGCTTTTGGGGTTGCAACAGGGCGCATCTTGTCACATGACACTGACATTTATGCAGCATTGGCGGCGCAGCTCATTCATATTCACGGCCTCTATGCCGCACGTTGGGAAAGATAACAAGTTTTAGGTGGCTGCTACTTTATTAACTTATATGGAAGGAAGTTGTTTTGTTTTTATAGTCATAAAGAGTGAGACATCAATTTCAATGACAAAGGCAAGCATTTTTAGGTGAACAACAAGAATATTTACTTAACCCCACAGATCCAGAGAGATTCCTCTTTTTCTCTGTTCTTTAAATTGACTTGCCATCAAATTAATTTTATTTAATTGAAGAATTGCTCTTAATTTTATAAAATATATATGCTGCTAGTTTATGAGCTTAATATTCTGCACTTAAGCTGTGTTATTAATGTGCTATGATGCATAAGTATTTGTCCAAACCGTTTAACCTTTGCAAGCATTTTTGGTTGTGTTAGTTATTGAAACATTTACTTTGGCTGCGAATTGTGTTGTCTTATGTCAAAAGTACTTAGTTAATTTTCTATACATTTTAAAACACACTCATAAAATTATTTAAGAATTTAAATACTATTTACATACAATATAGTCAATTAACTAGCTTTACTTTTGCTCATTCTCCTCAAGTTTCAAGATGATTTGCTCATTTGAGAAATCATGTATTCATGATTCATTTACCGCACTGAGCTATTCACACCTTTGGGAGCCCAACTATTCCACTTGATGATTCCAATCGTTACTGCCGAGCACCTTCAAAATTACGTTTAAATTGTGGCTGTGCTTGGCTCATGTTTGATTTGAAAATTATTTATTCATGGCCATGGACAGTCATCAAGAGAGGCAGCCGAGCAAAAGGCAATTCAGATTTATTCCGGCTAATACAATATGGCTTGTCAAATAAACAAATAAGCAAATCACGTGGCCAAAGCCAAAACAAATGATGGATTGCCATCAGAACTCCCAACAGTGACTGCAACTCCGATGATGGAGCCAACGGGCAGACAGAGTCAGCTGGGCGCTGGCTGCTGCTCAGGCAGTCGGGCGGGAGGTCAAACAGGCAAACAGCGGGTCAAATCCTAAATCCTGACTGGCAACAATGAGGGCGAATTTGTGCTTTTCTACATTGTTACGAGTACACAATATATACATTTTTTTTTGGCTTATTGTTGTAGTTTTTGTGGTTTTGTCGATTGTTGTTTTTGTAGCGCCTGCTTCCTTTTGTTGCCGCATTGGCTTTAAAATGGTTGTTTTTTAGCGCAACGGCGCACATTATTTTTATTTTTCAACACTTTTTGTGGCGCTGCTTTGCACGGAAACGAAAAAAAAGGGAGCTGAACACGAAAACATTCATAAAATATGCATTATGCAATCTAAGCTCGTGTGAGCATTGCTAAATATTTTATGCGCATATATTGTGCAGCACACAGATACACACACATGCAGACAAAACGATTTTATTTATATTGGTAGTTTATTGCTTTGTTTTGCAGCTGAGTGGGTGTGTGTGTGTGTGTGTGTGGGTGTGCTTAATCATTAATTTCACAGCCAAAAACAAATTAACAAATTTCTTTATGCCAAAAATATTCCACGCTTGAGCGAAGACAAATGGGCTGAGCTGCGCTCCCTACGCAACCAAACTAAAACAAATATTAAATAAGCTTTTAAATAACATGTGCCGTTTAACACATTGAGCTGTGCATATTTGTTGTGCCTGTTTTTCTTACATTTTTTAATGTATTTGTTTTTTGTTGGGGTATCCACA